CAGCGTCGGCAATTTCAAAGGCGGGAAAGAAAAGCGTTCGCTACGATTTGTTTATCTTTGGGAGATGAACAGTTGTCTTTGGTTCGCTCAGCTACAACAGCAAAGGATGCATGGTCAAAATTGGAAGGCCATTATGAAGTGAAGTCCTTGGCAAATAAATTATTCTTGCGTAAAAAGTATTTTACTATGTCTATGGGGGTTGATGAGTCAATGAGTGAACACATCAACAAGATGAAAGAGCTAGCAGGTCAATTGGAAGCTGTTGGTGCCTCGATCACAGAAGAGGACCAAGTTGCAACGCTATTGTGTAGTCTACCTGATTCATATGATAGTTTAATTATAGCTTTAGAATCCCGTGCTGGTGATTTATCTTTGGAATTTGTTACTGCAAGGTTACTTCATGAGGAACAGTATTGTATTTCATCGTGTGAGGTCTTAAACAATATCCGAAACCAGGTGCAGTAGTTCATAAAAAAAGCCAACGATACAGTTTTGGAATAGTGGTGACCCTGTTATGGCCAAAAATACGCCAACGAAAGTATACGGAGCGCATAATTTGGAAAGCAGCAGTTGTTGTCGGCTGTGTAAATCAGTCGGTGATCCCGCACATCGATATAAACTATTTAACAAAACGAACAGCGAGATCCTTGCCATCGCTGAGCATATTTATGGCCATCCACTTCCAAAAGAAGCAGGACTGCCGCAACTTATTTGCAGGCCATGTGAAAGACGCCTTCGTAGTTTCAGCGCGTTTAAGAACACAATTGTTCAAACGCAATCAACTTTGACCAAGTTCAAAAGGTGTAACAAAGATTCGCCTGGCGTGTCACGCGTATCGAAAAGTTTAAAATCGGCACAAGAACCTCCGCAAAAACAATCCCAAAGAGCAAGACAACGTCTCTGTTTTATGCAATCTTCGCATGGGAAAGAGGTAAGTTTTATTGCATTCACGTAAGAAACACAAAAAATGCCAGTCGACATGTACAAACAATGCGAAATGTACATATTGTTCTTTTTAATTGTTGCAATTTATTTTAAGTTTAACGTATTTATAATGCAGATATGGTTCCTTTAGTCGTTTTTATGGTATATTATAATTTATAAATGTGTGTATAAGTATAAAAAAGTCTTAACTTAAGCCATTCAAATTTAAATCAAGCATAACGCCGTATTCTATTGAATTTATCTGACAAGCTATACAGTACAATTTACTGTATCGTTAATTTGAAATTGACTAATTTGAAAGACTGTACTTTTTTTATACACACTGTATAGCAATGTACATTTTGATTTTTGTTCAAAATTCTGTGCATATTTGTAGCGAGATATGTGCTACGAATAAAGGATATGACATACCAGTATATAATTTACAATCTCTACGTTACTGTTGTAAACAAGTGTAATTTATTATTTTACCAAAATATTCGTTCTTTCAGAATGCAAGTGAGTCACAAAGTACGGGTAGGACATTAACCACGTCTCCAGCTGACAATTGCCAGGTTCGTATCATCGTATGTGTATTAAATACTAAATTGTCAATTTACTGTTTAGTTTTACTTTTAAGATTTTTATTTCAGTCTCACAGTACAACCAACGTGCCGATTATAAACTTACACAAAAAATCATTGACTTCTATTTTCATTAGGAAACTGTCAATGTGTCAAACGTGGAAACGGATCGTCAAATCCAAATGGAAAATTTGTTTTCACTGATTGAAAAAGAATTGTTGGACGTCGCGAGAAGGGAAAATAAATCAGTCCTAAGAGAGAAAGATTACCCTGCTTTGAGTTCGCTTAATTTTCATGACATTGTAGAAGAGATGAAAAGTCGTTGTCCAACTGTATTTCAGATCTTATCAAACATGGTTCAATATCATATTAACAGAGAGAAGAATATTGTCTCTCTGGGGCTTATATATGCAGTTATTATGTTCCGCAGATGTCACGAGTTGAGTCGTGTACAGAGAGTTAACACTGTACTTCTAACAGAAGGAAATGCTAATAGAGAGGTAAGCTGTTATAATCGTACAATTGTTACATAGCGGTAATTTAATTAATTGATACTAAGGGAAGTATGTATAATTTCTCATTCAGTAATTATAATAGAAAGATAATATGATACCAAAAAATCGAAACCTACATTTACAGTAATTATAATTTTTTAAAATTTTATTATAATGCTTAATACCGGGCGTTTGCATAAACATATAATTGATAACATAAACAGGCCTAGGATTGCAATAAGAATCACTTGCGATTAGAATATGTTTGGGCGTTGTTTTGTTTACATGCACTGAGGTATACTTTTAATATATAATATAAATCTCGAGTAATCTCCAAGAATGCAGGATTTTGCAATTCCTGGTACCTCAGATTTCAAAATTTTCCTGGGTATGAATGGTCCCTAACACACCTTAATTGGCATATATTTGCCCTGTGCCCTGCTAACATGAATGGCTTCACATCATGCTGCTTGTTAATTTGATGTATTACCTTTAATAGCTTCAAGAGAGACTCAGCAAGTATGGACTTTGCCTAGGAAAAACCATGAAATATACCATACAAGAGGAAATTGGCAAGCATTGTTTGGACGAAGCTGTACAACTTGTAAAGGAAGGGAAAACATTTGTGTTTGTCATTGATAACATTGATTGGACTTTAAAAGTACATGACATGCGCTCTGATAGACAGAACACAAGTGTTCATGCTGTTGCCACAAGTATTGTGTTTGATCGTGTCAAGTCAGATGATTTAAGTGATGAAATTCCAAATGTTAGTCTAAAAAATGTTGACTTTAAGGATTTACTTAAATTGGATGCTGAAGAATTGAGATGCACTCGAGAACGATACAAAATTTTTCTTGGGAGAATTCTGTGCAATACTTTTGATTTTTTTCATTTTATCAATGCTGTTGTTCCTGATCATACCCCGTGTCGATACCAACCAGAAATGGCTAGTCAATCTGTTGTTGTTCCACTACCAGTATTAATGAAGGATGAAAAAAAGTATGCAGATATAGTTGATGTCTTGGACCAACTAGAGAGCTGGGCTCATGATATATACTCGAAAGCTGGTATTTGTGATATTCCCACCAATGAAGATCATACTCCCCCAAATTTACCAACTGATAGTAGATCCAGACCTGACCAACCATCTGCTCATGTACCACCAACCCCAGAACCAAATGACCCTATGCAGAATGTTAGAATTCCATGCTTTGGAGATCAGCTTACCAGAGTGAGACTAGCAGGCGCAAAGGACCTCAGATCAGGATGCCACACTCCACGAGACAGATTTGAACACATTTACCCAATTAGAATTGTTGACTGGCATACTAAGAGGAGTTTCCTTAAGGTACGTATATACACAAATCATGTAATTATGATATCAGTATATTTTTTATTATAAACTTTAACCCATTAGTGTGGTGCATAAGGACCAATATTAAAGTGCTTATGAAACAAACTTTTTGCCACATTCTTTATTGTGTTATTAAAAGTACTGCTCAAATGATGAAGAATGGCGTTAACAGTTTATTCGTATCTCATCTCATTCCCAAGTTATCACACTTTGTATATTTTGAGTTGTGACGTCACAAAAAGGACTTGAAATAATGGCAATAACAAGAAAGTCTGATATCTTGGTGACCGTTTAATAAAATTCAATGAAACTTGGCACACTTAGTGGGTGTAACACAATCAACAATTTGGCTTGCTTATATGGTTGTCATGGCAACACACTCGTCCCCAGTCCCTTCTCTTCCAATTTCTATGTGATCCATTTCCAACGAAATAAATAGCAATTTCTGCCATTTTCGCTCATTAATATAATACGTGTAGGTATTGTCATCAATTTAAACAGTTATAACATGCAAACATCCTCTGCCAGATCTACAGGAGGACAATTTGTAAAAAGGAAGGGAAGAGACTGGGAACTAGTCTGTTGCCATGGCAACCACATGACCTTCCAAAAATATTTATATGGGTGCACCCACTAAGTGTGCCAACTTTCATTGAATTTTATTAAATACTCACCAAGATATCAGACTTTCTTGTTATTGCCATTATCTCAAGTCCTTCTTGTGACGTCATAACTCAAAACTGATACAAAGTGCGATAACTTGGGAATGAGATGAGATACAAATAAACTGTAAACGTCATTCTTCATCATTTGAGCAGTACCTTTTATTAAAACAACAAAAAATGAGGCAAAAATTTCGTTTCATAAGCACTTTAATCCTTGATAGAGTGTGATTGCCTGCATACATTCTTTATTCTTTAGATACATTCTATCAAGTATTTATTCTACAATTTGACTAGATTTTAGTCATCAGGAATGAATCATTCAATGAATCATTCAATGATTCATTCATGATGATGCCAAACATTACATGGCTGTTTTGGACATAAATGCACTCATGCAACTTTGTTATTTTGGGCTGAAGGCTGGTTAGCTGATTAATCCATTGAGCTACAATTAATGCACCCAAATGCACCCTACTTTATTGTTTTACTCTAATGCCAGACAATTTTACTCATCAAGAGAGAGAGATAGTGTGTGATGCCACTCAAGAGAAGCTAGGTCAATCTCCTTTTAGTTTGTTAAAAGTGTACTGTACACTAGGAAATTAAGGTACTGTTTCACTATGGAATTGACTTGCAATTTTGTTGCAAACAAATTACAAGGTGTACAGCACTTCATCTCCTCAAGTCTTTCATTGCAGCAAGATTTCCACAAAGTAGTAAAAAAATGTGAGACAAGTTGAACTGTGGTGTAATTTATAGTGCCACTTTTTTGTTAGCAGAAGGTGATTAGTAAAAAAAAATCTATTGAAATGTGCTGGCCTGCATGCAGTCCTATACCTCAAATATTCATGAAGCTGCACTATGCTTTTACTGTGTGCCTAGTATATCATACATATAGCAACTCTGTAATACTTTTGAAGCTCGGTAAGAATGATACAAGTATGTTATTGTAATCTGTTTATAATCTTTATTCTCATCATGCAGCGGCATAGCTAGCCTGACAATTTAGCCCCGCTATGAAAATTCAAAATTTTTATCATTATTCATTTCTTAATTAGAAATTGATTGTTTTTATAGTCAATAAACACAAAAATATTTGCATAGCAGGACTAAATTGTCGGGCTGGCTACGCTACTGATTCTCATCATCAGAGGAAGTGATGGGTCCAGTATAACAAATGAGTGGCATTACTCTCTTTTGATGAGTAAAATTGTCTGCCACTAGTAAAACAATAAAGTGAGGAGCATTTGGGTACATTGTAGCTTAATGAATTGATGACCTAACCAGACTATTTGCCCATGCCTTCCTCAGTTTACAACTTTGTTATGAGGGCCCCCTCATCTGGGAATATAGCCCCATCCCCCCCCCCCCCCCCACCTCATCCGGAAAAATTAAGAAATTCATCAGAGACCTGCCAACAAACACAGTTTACAAATTATGCCAATATATATGGAAAAAGGGTAAATTATACATTAAATTTTTAACAAAGTATGGTCCATATGGCCGGCAATTGTGAGCCGCTTTTTTGCATGCATGTTGTTTAATATTATAAACTTATGTTGACCGGGACCACCCGGTATTAAAATTATGTTTGCTGTAAACCGATTAATTCATAATATATCAGGGGCAGCACCGAGCCGATTGGGGGGTGTTGCCGCAAACAGTTTTAACTAATGTAGATAGGAAGATGTTATTTCCAGGAATAATTTTTGACCTTCAACAACTATTTTAGGAAAATGTTGGGGGCCAAAATTCAAACAGGGCCCAAAATTATGGATTATAAAAAAAATTGCTAGACCCCCCCCCGGATCATATCCCCTCTGTCTGGGAATTTCTGGCACCACCCACTTTTACATTTATGTGTTGTTTGTAATATAAAAGATTAACCCATTGCGTGGTAGCACTGACTTCCCTTGATGGTGCATCAGAATGCATTACCACTTGAAAGGCTAAAATGGGAAATTCCAGAAAACGTCCATGCCTCGCCCATTGGAGTAAATTGGAAGTTTAACCCCTCTATCCCTTACCGACTGTACTCAATACATTTACTATTATCAGAAACAAATTTTTATGTAACCCTCCCTCCTCTTCTGTACAGCAAAAAATTTCCCTGTGGGGGGAGTGGATCTTTTCTGGAACGATCCAATAGCAAAAAATGAGCAGAGCTAGGGGTGATATTTAATATATTTCTTTGCAAATAAAAAAATAATGCAATATTCTAACATCATGTTTAAATATTTAGGTTATATTCCATAAGCTCTACAAGAATTCAGCGCGTGAGCAAGGAACAGTGAGATATTTTCGAGAAAAGCTTCAGAGACGAAATGTGACTAAGGATGTTAAACACTATGAAGATTGCGAGCAATTCTTTCTTAGTTTGGGCAAATGCTTCACAATTGAAGCATTGATCCAATTCTTTGGTATGGAAAACCAAGATGACCATCCTACCAAGCACAAACCACCATCCAACATAAATGAAATGGGGAGAGAAGAAATTGAGAAGTATTATGAAGATGTTCTAGATGAATTCATCAATCAATTTCTTCTTGCAAATATGACCGGCAGTGATTCAGATGAGAATGACTTTGTCAACAATTATTCCATATGTTTACTGCAGTACTTTTTTATGCTGCATGATATGAAGGATGCAGTTCATGAAGGCAATGGAGAGAGGCTTGCAACCCTGCACAAGCAGCTACTTCATTTCAAGTCTGTACAAGGATTCAACTCGTATGCAATTGAGATGCTTATCAATGTGGTGCAAAACATGGTGTTTCTTTCTCCAGCACAGTCCCACCAATGCATTTGGGCATCAACAGCAAACTGGAAAGGTGGTGCTCAAAGAAATGTAGAAATTGATCTACTCCAAGAGAACAGAAACAGAGATTTAAAAAAGCTGATAAAAGGGATGGGTGCCAATAAAACTGACAAGGCCATTGATAATGCGAGCAGAGCTGTAGGTGGAGCAAGGAAGATTGCAGAAAACTTTGATTACATGGTTTACCGAGAAGCAAAGTCATCATCACACAGTCATGCATCATCTTTAAAAGATGAATCAAAAGTTTTAAGTGACCTTCGCATTTTGAAACCATTCTCCATTCAACCGAATAGAAAGCATGCATCATTTCGTAAAATAAAATAAAATTCTTTGGAAACCCTTGATGAAAAGGAATTGGATGAATGGCTTCAGAGACATAAGAAAAATCTGATGTTAGAGTCTCCAATTGAATTGGATGAAGATGAAATGGATGAAGATGACATGGCTGAAGAGGAATTTTATGAACATGAATTTGACGAAGATGACTTATAAACAATACAGAGTAATGTGATGTCTCATCAAAGCTAAATCAAATGTTGAATGGTGTTAACTCATTAAGTTGCAATGCACTCAAATGTGAATTACTTTTATTTCACTCTGTCTAATGCCAGATGATTTTACTTAAGAGTAGAGTCTTGCATGTTAATAGGTTACAAACATATTAACCCATTGTGTCATGCAGCACTCTCCCCTAGACGAGTTGAATCGTCTAGCATTAGACAGAGTAAAATACTAAAGTAGGGCATGTGAGGGTGCATTACCACTTAAAGGGTTAATGCCTAAATTGGCTAGAATTATACTTACTAAAATATTTACTGTTTAGCACCAAAACACCAAAGACATTATCTACCTAATGTCAGACGAACAAAGAAAGACTAATTCAAAAATATGCAATCATAGGTTTTGCCAGACTATAGATCTGCCCATTTCTATCATTAAGTTAGTCAAATAGGGTTAGCATGCACATATATTGTACTTTGGAATATTATCTGAAAAAATACAGGATATTCAGGATAACAATTTGACATGACAAAAACATATTTTTAATCTTATAATGACCATTGGTGTTCAGATATGGGTGAAGTCTGTATTGTGGAAACATGACTACAGTTATATATTGTTCATATTGATGGCCTAAAATGCTAGTATGTGACCACAAGTAGAACCAATTTCCAGTTTTATTCCCATTTAGCAGACAGGTGAAAAATATGCATTGTTATTGATAAGGATTTGAGTTTATTTGGTAAGATGCATTTTAACGTTTTGTATAGACCACACAATGGGTCATTCTAGAAAAGATCCACACTCCCACCAAGGAGGAAATTTCTCCTGTCCAGAGGGGGAAAAATTGTTTGTGATAATAGTAAGTGTATTAAGACATCTAAAGGGGATAGAGAGATTAACTTCCAATTACCATATGGGGCCTGAGGGACAGTATGGATGTTTTCTGGAAATTGACCCAATAAATAGGGTACAATTAAATTTATTATTTTTTCATCTCGTAAAGAAATGGTTTGTTTGCTTACTTTGATAGACAGTAGCATCCTAGTAATTGTTCCTTTGATTGTTTTGCTGGATGTGCCTTCTATTATTCTACGGTGCATAATTTGTTATGTTGTACATTCTGAACATTTACACTGCATTTTACAATCATGAACGTCATCATGAACGTCAAGACAGCCCAACAAAAACATCCTAAGGCAGCTGTCCTCAAGTTTGCAGTATTCACGAATACTGTCACTAATTCCAGGCCGGCTCATTGCAATATCACGCTTGTTGTAGTATAAGACAGCTGTTGATTGTTTCCTATCACGACCTGCTCGCCCGGTCTCCTGAAAATATTCTCTAATTGTATGTGGTGGCCCAACATGAATAACATGTCTTATACATGGTATATCAATGCCCATTCCCAATGCAACAGTTGCAAATACAACTCTCAATTTTGACATTGGTGAAGAGAGTTCAGTGAGAATCTGATTCTTCATAGCATTTGTCTGGGGTGAGTGAAATTGGGCAAACAGCCTATTTTCGGGTATTGATTCAGCATCAAGAGGATAGTACTGTTCCTTACCCAAATGTTTATCAAGATACTTGAAGGCATAGCCACACCATTTTAGTGGCAGGTACAAAATGGTCAAAGGGTAATCCAATTTCCTTTTAAGCAAATCAGTTGAAATGTTGTGTAGAAGTTCTTGAAAAAATTCAAGGTCATTGCCCTTTCTGATGATCTTTTCATAAAATATATTTGGCCTGTCAGGATTAGCTGTGATTTCCACTGGCTTTTTCAAATTTAAAGATTCTTTAATTAATATAACATCTGCCTTGCTTGCTGTAGCAGTGAGGGCAACAACAGGAACGGTAGGAAACGTAGCACACAACATTGCCAAATTTGAATAATCTTTCCTGAAGTCAAGTCCCCTGCAAAACAATAAAACATAATAATTAATATTTTTACAAGTTGACGTCAATGCGTTATTAAAATTTTTGTATAATTTCTATAAAACATTTTTAATATACATTTACTAACTTACCATTCTAAAATACAGTGAGCTTCATCTACAATAATTGATTGAACGGACTCCTGATAAGGCTTGCTCTGTAATAGTTCCATTCCTTCCTTACAAGACAGAAATGCCTCGGGATGTATGTAAATAATGTCGTACTTTGCATCTTTGAGCAGCGAATTGGCGCCTGTAAAATCCAAACGCAAATCGTCGGTTTCTTTCCCCTTTTTAACATTCAATACACCTGCCTTTATATTTCCTTGGTAGCTTCTTTTAATTTGATTCTCGATGAGAGCATTTAGCGGCGATATTACAATAACGACTGGATGGTATAATATTGATTTCGTCAACTGTTCGTCTCCACCATTGAACTTGTCGTTAAAAAGCTAGGGCAGAAGATGAAAAATCAGTGACTTTCCGTAACCCGTAGGTAACACAGCTACAACGTCTCTACCAAAATATATTGCTTCCAGACACATCACTTGCTTAGGTTTCAAAATAATATTACAATACTTGCTATTTACTATTGCAAAGTGAAGACTGCTATAAAACATTGCCGATATAATACCGAAGACAGAAGTAATTACATTTTGACGCAACGGACCCCCCCCCCCCCAAGGGACATAGCAAATTAAAGTGTCACGTGACCAGCCTGGACCAGGGTTTTTTCGCAGCGGGAGGGGAGCGGAGATAAAACCCTGGGTACGAGGTTGGCAATAGCTTTGTCAAAGAATCCAAAGTATCATCCCAGAACAAAGCATATTGATATAAAGCACCATTTCATTCGTGACAAAGTTGCAAAGAAGGAAGTTGTTCTAGACTATTGTCCTACAGAACAAATGTTAGCGGACTTGTTAACTAAACCATTAGGGAAAACATTGTTTCAACGTTATAGAGAACTGATGGGAGTTAGAAGCAATCTTTAGAGTTTAGTTTATTATTGAACGTTTAACGAACACGATATATATATATTTACAGTTCATATTTTTCGAGAGGGAGTGTTAATAATATAAGTTAATGTTATGCGAAAAATAGAACTGAACGCATGCATGTGACGTCATATCGTATGACAAAGTACTTTGAACTTTCAGGTCACGCCATCACTTTGCATATGGCTGTTTTTACATAGAAGGTTTTACTGTTCACGTTGTTGATATTAAAATGTAGTTTATAACTCAAATTCCGATGGTTCGCCGATCAATATTCAATAATTCTAATAACTATAGTTCTTGACATGTTACTACATGTTACACCTATATTTTTAAAAGGAACTATAGATATTTTTAAAGGTAGGTGTAACATGTTGTAACATGTGAGGATATATAATAAAATATAGAACTTTTAGTGTAACATGTACTGTAACA